ATATGTATTAGAGATGTTTGAGTAGTGCAGTAGCGTTGTATATTTTAGGGGTTGGTTGAGATGCGTGAAGTGGAAGGCGTGGTGTTATATTGGACATGAATTGGTAAGATAACGGCTGTAGGTTGTTAATCACTGAATCTGGTTTCTCGTAGAATTTAATATGAAGTAACAAAAAATATATTTTTTTGTAAAAAAAAAGTAATTTTAGGTGTTGCAGTGAGGTAGTTGTGCGAGTGCGAAGGGATAGTGTAGTTACAGTCTGTTGAAATGAAGTGGTTGTTGTGAAAGATCTTATTAATAGTCGAAAACATACTTGTACGTATTTTAAACGTTGTTAGGCTTGGCAAAGTCATTTAATATAATATATAGAGAAGGGGGTATGAAAATGTTGAGGGGGTGCTGAAATTTTGTATGTGTGTTCAGGGGGCTTTGAAACATCGGTGAGGTCAAAGGGTTTGTGCAAACTAGATGCCCCGATGGACTTTTCTAGCTCTTAAAATGTTTTGTAACACTTTATACGTTGTATACGCAGTTTATAACTGAATGTCATGTCAGTAAACTAGCAGTAAAGTCAACCCGGGGATAAACATTCTTGGAAAGTCATAATGTTATACCAAGCTGTCACCACAAATACAACAACGAAGCACACTGTGAAAGAAAGTTTTGTAATGTATTGTGCAGTGGAATGAGTCGTCGTAGTCATAAAGGATCTTCGGAGAACTTTTCAGAATTAATTCCGAGAGTAATTAAGAGAAAGCACTGAACAACGAGGTATATTGATTTCCGAAAATAGGAATCGTTTTAGATCAGAACGAACACCATGCTCCACTAACCTCTGGTGGAACAGCCGGAAACATCAATGACAGTTAGGAAAAGAGCTGTGAAAATGTTTTCGATACAATGGAGGTGCTTCATATTACTCTAAGTGGAGTGAAGAACATCTTTCGTTTTAACGCCTGAATTCTAATCCCACTACATCTCAATTCCATTCTTTGAAACTCACTCTAATCTCCTAAGAAGCTAAGTAGTGTAATCAGCTAGGGTATATTTTTGTATATTTACCAGACTTCTAACCTCTCAGTCTTGAAGGCTCCTCGATATTCTACTGCTCAGTTAGATTCAACTGGTTATATCGGACAGCAGATCAAATGTAAGAAGACCGAAGACTGAAGAAGCGGGTAAAGGAAGGGTATATTTGCCCACAACAAATATGAACTGTGCAGTACATTTTAAATGTGCGAACTCATCGCATTATATTAATCGCTTGTGGTTTTGCGTAATGCGGAAGTAACAAAATCGAAAGTTGCCTGAGGGTTTTCTTTGGTCTGCATGGCATACATAAATGTTATTCCAGAGATATTTAAGCGGCTGCATTATAGATGTAAATCATCCTATAGGCTATATCATAAGAAATCAAAGTAGATGGCAGGCTGAGACCTACAATTATATAAACGGCGTAAATGGTATTAGAATAACTGAATAAAACATTTTTGTTCTTTCTCCTTTCAGCACGCCTTGGTTAAGTTGAGCGCCCGCATGCCGAAAAGAAAGGGGAAGTAAAGGAACGAAACTGTTCGAAAAGAGCTACTGGACGTAGACTTGAATACAAGTGGGGTATATCTTCAGGCAACAGTCAACCCTCGGACGTACACGCAAAGTCATACCCCTATCGTAGTACAAGAGGGGAGGTTGATGGACCCCCGCCTCCTTGATTTTTTTGATATGTTGCAGTATTTAGAAACATTTTGCCTTCAGTGGAAATCCTGTACACAGGCCTGTATACAGGCTTCCTGGCGAACGATGAGGAGCGGCTGTATTCGAAGGCAAAGATAATGCGAGACAACATTCAACGTGAAATGAACAGTCATAACAGTAGGAACTCTTATTATTTATCAATCGAAATCGATGTCCGGTACCCGAAGGTCTAGCCTGTTCACAGACCCTCTATTTTCTCTTCAAAGTCCGCCGAGCGCGCGCGGATCAAAAATAAAACCGCGGGGGTATCGCTTCGCTCGCGCGCACGCCGATGTTTTCGAAAGGAACGAAAAGAAAGATATAACTACGTCTGCGTACTGGCTACCAAAGATCCTTGAGATGCAACAGTGATATATAAATAAAATAAATAATAAATAAATAATAAAGTTATCATGAAAAAGCAAAATACAAAAAAAAAATGTGGTGTAACTTGTATTGACTTAACATACAAAGATTTATAAACTGTGCAATCACCTGTATTTTACCAAGGCTCGTCCCACTCTAAACTGAGATCAGGCTTTGCTTTCATGTCACTTGGTAAATAGATTTCCCGCAGCAGGGCGGATCGAAAAGTTTCGCATTTGATAGAGTACGTGTACGTGTTTTGAAAACAAGAAAACACCTTGATGCATGTCATTTGGAAAATTCCTCCTCTTTGTTGATTTATCCTTTCTCAGCAGGTAGCGAGAATGCAGCATCAGCACCTTGGAAAACGCTTATGGTGCAATTATGTATTCATGCGCTATTCACGTGAGCACAGACCTTGCACTCAACACCAGGGCCGTCGCGGCCGCATACCATGAGAAGAGAACATCGGGAGCAGCCTTGCCTCCAACGCAGACGTTCTTAAAGGTTTCCCTAAGAAAGTCTGCGTGGGAGGCTAGATGCAGCCAGTTTAGCTGTTGATTACAGGAATGGCTCCGAGCTGGGTTTTTAAAGAAAACCGCTGACCAGAGCTACAACCTCAGGTACGGTTTTTCCACAAACATCCTCCACCACAAGTAAAGCCAACAGCCATCGCACTTCATGCATCTACCCCCATTAGCCTTCATTCACCTTCTTCCACCTTCATCTATCTCTACTAGCCTTCATTTACCTTACTTCACCTATATCTACCTCCAATACATGTCCAATAGCCTTCATTCACCTTCGTTCCCCTTCATCTTCTCCATTAGTCTTCATTTACCTGCATTCGCTTCATATTGCATCCACCCCCATTAGCCTTCATTTACCTTCATTCACCGTCAACTACCCCCAATAGCCTTCATTCATCTTCATTCACGGTCATCTACTTCCAATAGCCTTCATTCATCTTCATCCAACCTTCATCTACCTCCAATAGCCTTTAAGACACGCCCAGTTATAAATCCTCTTCTGTTCGGTCGTGGCTGCAATATCCGGGCACTTACATACGGGCACTGTTTGTTCACCCAGTTAAACCCAGAAGGTGTTGCGTGTTTCGACAAAACTAGCGCCTTATTGCAGATTGCCCTTTCATTTCTATATTTCATGCAACACACGCCTTTTTTAGAAGTCTAAATTTCGGCTAAGGGTAAAGAACAGCAAGAAGATTCGGACGACGGAATTTATAGTTCGAGAATAGGCAAGTCTCGTATTCCCCGACGGCCCTGGGACGAGCACGATCGCGAGGCTAATGTGGGTCAACTTCTTTGCAAAAACAAAAACAACTGGTAACATAGGCAATTTGCTGCTGATTCGCCAGAAAACGATAGAAATCTTAAAAATAGTAAGATCCCAAAGCTTAAACTTTACCAGTAAGTCAATGGGATATCTGTTGCAAACAACAAAATTGTAAGAAAAGCTGATGGTACTACTACTACTGATTCCGTTATTTACCCTCGACAGTATTTATAGCACTAATATGCTAGTGGGGCCGAGCAAATGCCTGAAACAAATAATTCAAATTGGACTTAATAGGGTTAAGAATCCCAACTGACCGGAGGCAAACGAGCTGGCTATTTACGAGCATGGTCGGGGATTGAACTCGGGACTACTGTGAACAAATCCAGCTAGCGGTCAGGGCGGGACTTAAACTCGGGGCCTTCGAATTGCAAGTCCGGCGCTCAAACCACTCGGCCACGCCGAGAAAAAAGCGACGAAGCCAAAAGAAGAAGTAAACTTTTTAAGCTTGAGAAGGGTAAAATTTCTTAAAATAGCAATATTTTAATTCCTTTAATTATCTTACTTTTTAGTATTCTATTTTACTCTTGTGTTAGTATCTGTAAAATGGAGTTTAAACTACTCAGTATATCGTCGGTATGAAACTCTGTGTTCGAGTTTTTGTCGAGTGAAATGTGTGTACGTTTTTCTTTATATAGTACTAGTGACTGAATATTTTTACAAGTTTAAATAATGTAACTTAGATGAAAGCTTATGTATAAATAAACTTATACCGTTTTAATCATCTTCGTTTAAATCAATTTAACCTCCTTACAGTGCGAGGAATTTATGCAGAACGTCTGCCCCGTCGGTTTATTTTTTTTTCAGAAACACAAGATTTTGTATTTTAATTCGCTCCGTTAGAGAAAATGTCAACTAAAAAGAAGGTCTCAGTTTAAGTTGCAGGCTTTCGACAAGTACGTACACTCCAATGAAGCTATGGCTTATTAAAGAAGTTTTAACCATCGCTAAAAATAACATTCAAATGGCTTCAGGGCAGCCTGAGACCAGGCTCCTCAGTAGGGAAAAAAGAAAATAACGGGGTCAAATAGCAAAGATATTGGCGAGCGAAGCGAACCCAGCGGTGGCTTTTTTTTCCCGTTCCCAGCTTTTCGCCCTTTCCCCACTGCGGAGTCCCAGGCTAGCTTCGGGGTATTATGCACCTTGTTTAAGGATTTTGAAACCATCTTCGCATTTTCATTGATTCACTTTAATACCGACCACTATTTCGGTCAATTTCTGGTTAAGCTCGTTGTTTTCCTTAGTGATGACGAGCTGATTTTCCTTTTGCTTTGTGAAACCGATGATTTCTCAATCGTGTAAGTAAGGAGTTTGAGACCTCCAAAACCTATCAACGCCTCAAATCTCTTTTTTTTCGGCAACTCAGCAGCCGTTTTCTCATGTGTGTTAAGTTTGTCTTCTTAGTGAGAAGTGACCCGCATTAGCCTCGCTTTCGTACAAAGAGGCACTCGTCTTAGGCTGTGGGGACCAGGCTGATTTTAAGTGATATTTCATGTGCTTTACGTGACGTAATATTTCTTTAAAATGGCTTCCGCTGTCAAACAGTTGCTATTCAAAATGGCGGGGTATCTTTGTCGTTTTCATTCGTGAAGAAGCAAACACACACTGTCTTTTGTGTCCAGGAGGGAAAAAATGAAGGTAATTTGCACTTAATTCTATTTTGTTATTCTGATTCAGTTAAATTTAATCAGCACAGCTTTTATGAGTGTCGTTTATCTGAGAAAAGCGCCAGTTTGATAGCCGTATCCATGGTAAATAAACACATGCACAAGTGAGTTTATTTAACCGAATTAACCAGCGAGCGGTTGTTGTTTCAGTTTAGGCTCTTAGGAGTAAATCTGATTTAAAAAATAAAATGCTGTTTGCGATAATAAAGTGTAAAACACACTGTCGCTCAAAAATTAATAGTTAATATACGAACTTAAGCTAAAAAATTCCTATTAACATTTCTACCGAGCTGCAACTAATACCTGTCAGACTCCGATTTGTAACTTACAAAGAACATTGCAGCTGAGATCGGATTTGCGTAAATAACTGACTTTAAAGATAAAAAAGTTTACCCTTTTAAATTTACGTTCTTGCAACAATATTTATAATTATATGGCTGTTGAAGAGTAATAATGATTATGATCTTTCTCTACAGTGTGCATGTTTATATGTGGGAATGCACAATGTGCAATCCAGTGAGCGAGTGAGCCATGTGAGGCAGACATGTGAGCGGTCACCTTGCATTGTGGTCAGCAGATAATTGCAGTATAGACCTTGCCACAGTTTTTGATGCCATCTTGAGGAGTAGGCAAACGCGTGAAAAATTGCAGTGTTTGTATGAGAATCTAATGTCGAATAATTTCTGTAAAACGGCTGTTCTGAAAAAAATATCAATTGTAAACTAAAGCAACAAAGCAAAGGATTGTCCTAAAAAATTTGGGGGACATACCTGTGCTTAAATTTCTCCAGAGGCTTGCTTTAGATTTTCCATATATTTGTCTTTAATTTTCCCGGGACTTTCTTACAGACAAATGTATAGAAAATTTTAAAAGTGGTTCTAGGTCTTCTAGTGCATGTAACGCCCTCAAATTTTTTCAGGAGAATCATATTTTTCATATTTTTTTCAGAACAGCCATTTCTACGGAAATTATTCGATATTAGATTCTCATACAAACACTGTAATTTCTCATGCATTACAACTTCACGCCGATTTAAGTGTGTACCCCAAATTTTGGGGTTATCAAGTATTCATATATTCAGGCTATTGTTCTTGCCATTGTCGATTACCTTCCGAAGAATCCACGAGCGGAATTCCTTTGATTTAGGTGCGATATGTCTCTTTTGTTTCGAATTTTGTTGCTTGATTGACTTTTTAATCCCCATTGTTACTTGATGAGTATTAAATTTATCCATTAAAATACTCGGACTTGCCTGTTAAATTTGTTGCGCTCTGTGGGAACGCTTACAAGTCTTTTAAGTGTGGCGGACAACTCTGGTTGCATAACATATTTTCGGTCACGCACCGTATTACAAACGAAACAAGCCTGATAAATTTGAAGTTGATTAAAGCTTATAAATACCTGGTCTCCTATGGTATTTTTTTTATTAAATACTCCCTTGCCTTGAAAATAATTTGGCGTTTAAAGAATTACTGCAGAAGGTATTTATTAGAACGTTTTATTCATTCAGTATTATCAAAACCTGCGCTCTGCAATCAAGAGCGAACAACTCTCTTCAAAATGTAAACAACGCAAGCGGTGAATGCATTTAACGGGATGACACAGATTTATCAGCATGTAATTTCACTTTTTTGGACGTTTTCGCTTGCCTTTCAGTGTTTTTGTTGAAAAAAACCTTGCGTTTCAGTTACGTGACTGCAGGGCCCGAAATAACCGCGTATTGTCAGTTCACCGATTTGCATGACAACTTGATTCGCGGAGCTAATCGAGTGAGACAGGAAATATCTAAAACTGTAATCGACAGATCAAAACTTGCGGAATTCATAATTGCTCGAAATAATTTCGTAGAAACGCTTGTATAGTTTGATTGCTCTGGAGAAATGAATAACTGTTATGATTGAATGAATGGATAACTCTCGGCCGGCCGGATTTTATTAAGCGATAGGCGAGAAAAAATGCTTCAGCGGCTTGCTTTGTACTTCGAAACCTCGGCAAGAAAAAAAAAATCCAATCTTGGTCCACAGTGGTCGAAATTTCTCGTTCAATATCTCTTTTTGAAGCTCTCAAAACTCTCTTTTTGAAAAAACGTACCCAAGTCGAAGAAGTTTTTGCGAAAGATTTAAATCCATAAACTTCTACCGCGATATGTGCGATAATTCTCTGCAGTTTTATTGACACATTTAGAACAAAAGGATACCTTTAAAACTTCGTGGCCCTGGGCAGCTTAATTAAGCCATTGTTCAATTCCTTTGAATTCGCTTCTGAGTCTTCCGCCATAAAATCTCACCTTCTTTGAACCGAGTCAAAACGAGCACTCTCGAAGGGAAAGTCCGGAGGAATAAACTGAGCCTTCAGGGTACAAAATCCAGCGGTTATGCCCATTTCTGAAATACACACTTAAATCGGCGTGAAGTTGTAATGTGCGTTTGCCTACTTGTCAAGATGGCGTTGAAAACCGTGACAAGGTCTATTTTCCAAAAGTAAATACGGTATTTTACAAGGAAGAAGTGAGGGCAGCAGAAAAAATATTAAATTCAACAACTGAAAAAAATAATATCATGGCTTTTTGTTTTTCTTGCACATTGTAATTGTCCTGTGCTACTGAAATGGCAAAACGCAAACGGGAGTCACTGCAGCTTCTTAACCGACAACAAAGCGTGCTGGATGATCGATCTGGTTTATAACAGGTGACCTTGTTTTTACCATTCAAGGACATCAGAAGATTATAGAAGCTATGATGCTGATAAAAATTCCTGGATAACGTGTCACTGAAATTTATCAGAAGCAAGTCTATTCAAGAGAGCTTTATAAAGATAGTTGTTGAGCTTTCTACATCCTGAATAAACAGATTCACACTTCATAACAACAATAGTACAGAGATAACATTTCACTTTGTTTTAAATTTATTGCGATCAGTCAACACCTTGAATTCAAAATTAAAATTTAAAATGATCCTAATTTATAAACAAATTACAACTATTGCCTACTCTGTACCGTGATGCGACCTTAACTTTCCTTAGGTTTGCTTTGAAGCACTGCTGTACTCCATAGCTTTGGCAGCTCTCATCAACTATATGCAGCTATATGTTGCATATTCCAAACTCTGTAGAGGAAAATTGTTTAAAAGAAAAAGCAAACCATACACTATGTCTGGAAAGCGACATAAAACCAATAAATTTCCAAATTTCCAAACTATAACAGTCAGAAACAGTCCTGCCTTCAACCACCATGTCCTTAAACCGTTGATCTTTGGTTTATGATGTGATGCCCCAAATCCGCTGGCAAGAACTTTGATAATCACGTTGCAAGTTGTGAGAACATCATTTGGATTTCATTTACTAGATTTTATGGGAAGTAGCTCCCCTCCCCATACACAAACTACTTTCGATACAAGTTTATTCAATCCAGTTGTAAATAGTTTCACGTACATGTATTTCGGGCTTAAAGACCAAAGAATATTTGCCCCGCAAAAACTTGAAGTGATCAAAATTTTTGTGCAATTTTACTGCTTGAGCTCGTATTGAATTGACTTTTATCAAAACAATTTTGTATTGAAACAACTGGTTTTTTAAAAGACTTTGCAGTTCATAAAGGGTTCTCTATTGACTCTTGGAACAAAGATGAATTTGTTATTGAACTTAGCTCCTTTGTATACTTTTGTGTCCACGAAAGTGATCTCTGTTTCTGACATCTCAGCCAACAATACTTAAATTTTAAAGTTCAGTGAAAGCTATTTGAGTTCATTTTCTTTTTTAGCCCCTGTTGATTAGGTTTGTGTTGCAAACCAAAATATTGTCAAATATAATTCACCTTTTAATTTTTCCTTTCTTTAATTTTGCTCTCACTCCTCTTTCCATAAGGATCAGTTTGCCATTTTTTTAAAATCTGGTATTCATGATTTTAGTCATCCAGGTCTACTCAAGGTCTGTTTGACATCACCAGTCTGTTGCTGTGGTTTTGCCTCTATAAGTTTCACTCCTTCAAATCCATCTATTCCATCCAGATTTGAGTCCCATAAATAGAACACGTCATCAATATACCTTGTCCATGCCTTACACGTTTTGTTCATGCTCTTGCATACCTTGTTCATGAGTCTCATATGCCTTGCATGTTGGCCTAGCATACCTCACTCATCTGCCTCACTTACCTCGCTGGCTCACTGGCTCACATATTGTATATGTTGTGGTTCAGTTTTATTCTCAGTTTAAATTGATTTTCTACCAAAAGAACTGATGGCTGGTCACATTAATTATTTATCCTTTTAGCGAGTATTTAGTGTTCCTGAGAAGGTAACTGGTGGTGGCACAATAACCTACAATTGGCAGCAGAAACTGGGAAACTACCTGGCTGTAACTGGGTAAGCTGTAGAACATACAACTCTATGTACATTGAAAGTAAATCATTGGGTAATAATTATAAATCATAGTAGAAGGTTTAAAGGGCTCAACTGCAAAACATAAATTCAAAAAACATTTTTCCCTGTAGCTTAGCTTTTTTTTTCAAAGTTTGAGGTGACGTTAGACAAATCAGCACGTACAAAATAGGGAGCAGTTTGTCTGCTTGGAGCATCTGACTTGATTTATTTTCGCTCCACAAACTATTTATCAGAAGAAGAACTTCTAGTGTTGTAAAACAACAAATAATAATAATTTTGAAAAGGAAATGTGCAGTTTCTGAGGAAGAAATATTCCTGAAAGTGGAGAAAAATATCTTGCATATTGGCACATACAATTGAAGCCAATTAATGGCTGCTAACGGTGTTATATTTGATTTCCATGCTTAATACAGTGTGCCAACTAGGATTCATTACTTCAAAAGAAGTTGCCATTAGAAAAATTTAAGGAAAACCATTCCTTAAAGATGAGCAGAGCTCACTGATAAAAAATATACAAACAACATAAAAAAAACACCTCTGGCCCAACAGTTTGCTTCAATAACGGCTGTCGAATGTTTGGCTGCAAAACACGTCATGTTTGACACCCTTAGGATATGTTTTTCTATCTTGTATCCACGCTTATAATTGGATGCAAATGATGATATAAATCATTTTATTATCCAATGTTATAATTACATTAAGTAGATGTTTGTATTTGTATTGTATTTTATTTTTTACTCCATTCTATAGATAATACATCAGTTGTGCAATATTAGTTAATAGAAGGTGTTACCTTCATAGGTTATCTTCTTAGGTGAACATGTAATTACCAAGTGCCTACGTAGTGAGTTTGGGGTGCCTGTGACAAAATAGTGCATTCTCCCCACTGACGTTTTAACTGACTAGATTTAGTAAATTTCATACTCAGTTACATTGCACTTACAGTATGGTGCTTAAAATGATACAAAGTGATCATGGGGATTGTAAATGTGCATTATGTTGTACAAATTTAACTATGCAACATTCATTGTCTGTTTAAACCTGAGTGTTCAACTAATTAGGGTTAAGCATTTTGCTAGGGTTCTAACTTTGGTAACCTAGGATACATACTGGTTCACCCTAAGAACATTAATTAGCAATACATGTAGTTGTAAGGTATATTGTATTAGTAAAAACCAACTAGTGGTCTATTATCAATGCTGCATTCTGATTGGTTGAGCTACTACTAGGCTATATGTTATAGCCCTCTAGTAGCGAAAAGTGCCAGCTTTTTGGCAGCAAAAAAGGATTCAAGTCTAGCTTTAACTACCTAAATTTTTTTTATTCTCGATATTTTTGACAAACTGGTTGGATTTTACTAAAACAATTATTCCTCTCGCCCTCATGACCTCTGAGTCAATAGTTATTGACTCAGAGCCCATTCAGGTTCAAGGAATAATTGTCAAATACACTGTAAGTTAATTGTTCATATACATTACAGCTGAACTCTCCATATTAGTGACCACCTGAAAATGGAAAGATTTAGTGGTCATTCACAGTAGGCAGTTGCTTACAAGAATCAAACACCAGGTGATCTCTTGTGAGGGTGTTCCAGACATATCTACGATATGTGCAGTTCCCATGTTGTCACTTAAAGTTTCATGGAACAGTAGTAAACGTGGTGAACAGAGGTTCAAAATTTGGGAAATTGTAAAAGTGTCCCCTACAAAACTTTGTCTGGAGGGCTCTGAATGGAGTAATTTTGGTATTTTTGTTTGGTATTCACATTTATTTACTACAGGCCATTGCTTCCAATCGGTGGTCGCACATGCTGAGAATTCAACTGTATTGAATTTCTGATATGCTAAATCTAAGTGAAAGGAACTTAAACTAAAGTCATTTCCACAGCTTTTAAAGCTAGACTTCCTTCTAGGTATTCTGTCTTTGCCCCTGTTGACAATGTAAATTGCCAACATATGCTGCGCATTCTAGGCACCACTTTCTAATTCTTTTTGGCTTCGTACACCTGACAAGCGTACTCGGAATTTAGAGAGTTCTTTGTTACCAGTGGTTTATTGAATAATTGTATACTGGATTCTGGTGTCTTTACTTACTACTCCAGTAAGTCAAGTGTCAAGAAGGCCTGTTGTTCCCTTTAGTCACTACTTGTTTTTATTTATCAGTGTTCTATATTATGTTCTTTCCTCTGTGCTTACTGTGAAACATAAAACGCGACTCACATAAAATGTGACTGACAAAGCGAATACAGCCATGCATGCACCAATCTGTATCAAGTTGCACCAAACTGCACCAAGTTGCACGAAACTGCACCAAGTTGCACCAAACTGCATGAAGTTGCACCAGTCTGCACCAAGTTACACCAAGTTCCACTAAACTAAACCAAGTTGCACCAATCTGCACCAAGTTGCACCAAGTTCCACTAAACTGCACCAAGTTGCTCCAAACTGCATCAGGTTTCATCAAACTACACCAGGTTGCACCAATCTGCACAAGGTTGCACCAACTTGCATCAAGTTGTACCAAACTGCACCAAGTTGCACCAAACTGCACCAACTTGCACCAAACTGCACTAATTTGAACCAAGTTGCACCAATCTGCACCAACTTGCACCAAGTTGCACCAACCTGCACCAAGTTGCACCAACCTGCACCAAGTTGTACCAAACTGCACCAAGTTGCACCATTCTGCACCAAGTTCCACCAAACTTCAGCAAGTTGCACCAAACGGCACCAAGTTGCACCAACTTGCACCAATTGCACCAAGGTGCACCAAACAGCAACAAGTTGCACAAAACTGCACCAAGTTGCACCAACTTGAACAAAGTTGCACCAAACTACACCCAAACTGCACCAATCTGCACATCTTGAACCAAGTTGCACAAAACTGCACCAAGTTGCCCCTAACTGCACCAAGTTGCACCAAACTGCACCAAACTGCATCAAGTTGCACCAAACCGCACCAAGTTGCACCACATTGCACCAAACTTCACCAACTTGCACCAAACTGCATTAAGGTGCACCAATCAGCACCTAGTTGCTCCAAACTGAGCCAAGTTGTACCAAACTGCACCAAGTTGAACCAATCTGCACCAACTTGCACAAACTTGCACCAAGTTACACCAACCTGCACCGAGTTGCACCAACTTGCACCAAGTTGCACCAAACTGCATCAAGTTGCACCAAACAGCACCAAGTTGCACCACGTTGCACCAAACTGCACCAAGTTGCACCAATCTGCACCACACGTCTTCAAGTTGCGCCAAACTGCACCAAGTTGCACCAAACTGCTCCAAGTTGCACCAATCTGCATAAAGTTGCACCAACTTGCACCAAGTTGCACCAAACTGCACCAAGTTGGACCAAGTTGCACCAAACTGCACAAAGTTGCACGCATCTGCACCAAGTAGCTCGAAACTGCACCAAGTGTCACCAAGTTGCATCAAACTGCATCAAGTTGCACCAATCTGCACCAAGTTGCACTAAACTACACCAAGCTTCACCAAACTGCACCAAGTTGCACCAACCTGCACCAAGTTGCACCAACGTGCACTAAGTTGCACCAAACTGCACCAAGTTGCACCAATCTGCACCAAGTTCCACCAAACTTCACCAAGTTGCACCAAACGGCACCAAGGTGCACCAACTTGCACCAATTGCACCAAGGTGCACCAAACAGCAACAAGTTGCACCAAACTGCACCAAGTTGCACCAACTTGAACAAAGTTGCACCAAACTGCACCAAGTTGCACCAATCTTCACATCTTGAACCAAGTTGCACAAAACTGCACCAAGTTGCACCAAGTTGCAGGAATCTCCACCATCTTGCACCAAGTTGTACCTAACTGCACCAAGTTGCATCAATGTGCACCAAGTTGCACCAAACTGCACCAACGTGAACCAATCTGCACCATATTGCACCAATCTGCACCAAGTTGCATCAAACTGCCCCAAGTTTCAGCAATCTGCACAAGGCTGCACCAACTTGTAGCAAGTTGCATCAAACTGCACCAAGTTGCGCCAGAGTGCATCAAGTTGCACCAATCTGCCCCAAGTTACACCAATGTGCACCAAACTGCACCAAGTTTCACCAAACTGCACCAAGTTGCACCAATCTGCATAAAGTTTCACCAGCTTGCACCAAGTTGCACCAATCTGCACCAAGTATCACCAACTTGCACCAAGTTGCACCAAACTGCACCAAGTTGGACCAAGTTGCACCAAACTGCACCAAGTAGCTCGAAACTGCACCAAGTGTCACCAAGTTGCATCAAACTGCACCAAGCTTCACCAATCTGCACCAAGTTGCACGAAGTTGCACCAATCTGCGCTAAGTTGCACCAAACTGCACTAAGTTGCACTAAACTACACCAAGCTGCACCAATCTGCACCAAGTTGCACCAACTTGCACCAAGTTGCACCAAACTGCACCAAATTGCATCAATCTGCACCAAGTTCCATCAAACTGCACCAACTTGCACCAATCTGCACCAAGTTCCATCAAACTGCACCAAGTTTCACCAAACTGTACTAAGTTGCGCGAATCTACAAGATGCTGCAGCAACTTGCACCAAACTGTACTAAGTTGCGCGAATCTACAAGATGCTGCGGCAAGTTGCACCAAACTGCACCAAGTTGCACCATTGTGTAGGAAGTTGCACCAAACTTCACCAAGTTGCACCAACCTGCACCAAGTTGCACCAAACTGCAGCAACTTGCACCTAGTTGCACCAAACTGCACCAAGTTGCACCAAACTGCACCAAAATGCATCAATCTGCACCAAGTTCCTTCAAACTGCACTAACTTGCACCAATCTGCACCAAGTTCTATCATACTGCACCAAGTTGCACCAAACTGCACTAAGTTGCACCCATCTCCAAGACGTTTTACCAACTTGCACTAAACTGCACTAAGTTGCACCAAGTTGTACCAAACTGCACCAAGTTGCACCAATCTGCACCAACTTGCAACAAAGTGCACCAAGTTGCACCAATCTGCACCAACTTGCACCAAACTTCACAAGGGTGCACCAAATGCTACCAAGTTTCACCAAGTGACACCAAGTTGCACCAAACTGCACCAAGTTGCACCAGTCTCTCCAAAGTGCACCAAACTGCACAAAGTTGCACCAAAGTGCTCCAAGCTACATCAATCTGCACCAAGTTGCACTAAACTGCACCAGGTTGCACCAATGTGCACCGCGTTGCACCAACTTGGACGAAACTGGACCAAGTTGCATCAATATGCGCCAAGTTGCACCAACTTGCACCAAGTTGCAGAAAACTGCACCAATTTGCACCAAAGTACACCAAGTTCCACCAAACTGCACCTCCACCTGGTGTAGTTTGGGATAATTTGAAGCGGATTGGTGCAGATATGCACTAAGCTGCACCATGTGTCACCAAATTGCACCAAACTGCACCAAGTTGCTCCAAATTGGACACAAGTGCACCAAGTTGCAGCAATCTGCACAAAACTGCACCCATCTGCACTAAGTGGTAGCAATCTGCACCGAACTGCACCAATCTTTACCAAGTTGCACCAATCTGCATCAAGTTGCGCCAATCTGAAACAAGTTTTACCAAACTGCACCAAGTTGCACCAAACTGCACCTAGTTGTACCAAATTGGATCAAACTGCACCAAGTTACACCACACTGCACCAATCTTGACCAGCCCACACCAACATAAAGATTGGTGTAGTTTGGTGCAGATTTGTGGAGTTTGCTGCAGGTTGTTGTAGATTGGTGCAACTTGGTTTAATAAAAACTGAATGAAACAGTTTTAGCTAGCGAATTGTTCAAAATTTTAATTGCTGAGGAGTATAAGGACAAAATAATACTGTATAATGTATGTTTTTTTATGTTTTGCTTTAGTTTTACCCTTGGCTTTATTTTTTTGTTTTAAACTATTATAATAATATGCTTGATCTTGACCATAGATTTACAATCTCGGAAATTATAATATATGTTAAACCACCACATAAAATATTTTAAACTCAACTCAGCTTCACATGTACTTATTTGGAACTAACTTGGTGTTATAAATATTATTGTATCTATTTGTAGGACAAATACCAGATCTGTTGTCATCTATGATCGGCATGGAGAACAAAGAGATGTAATTAATCTGCAAGGGTAAGTCCGTTCTAGTCATGTTTAGTAGGAGCCATGTTAGAACCTATTGCACTGTGTTCTAAATGCTGGTCAGTTTGAGAGTTGTCATGGTTAGCTGGCAACACCGCTTGGCTTGGAAAGGAACAGGCCATTTTAATAGTGACATCGGTTAATTGCATTTATTGACTGTACAGTGTACAGCTACCAGAATTAATGTGGTTTCTTGGCTTTTTATTAATTAAATCTATCAATCAGACTGAGATTTATCAAACAAAGCTCTGGTTTGCACTTGGAAACAACAAACTGAAGGATTCTGGTAGTTGTAGTGAACGTCCTGTCTGCTAGCCACCTCACATTAACATTGGTAGCCTGAGAAAACGGCCGACATATGGCTACGCTACTACTGGTTTCCCCGCCAAATGATGTCTCAGAAACGAGTGCAGAAATTCCATACCCAGATCTGGGTAGTGCTTCTGATTAGTCGTGAAACGTGGGAAATTTGATTCAACCAATCAGAAGCACTACCCAGATCTGGGTAGTGATGCGTCATCAGTATGGAATTTCTGCGCTCGTTTCTCAGACGTCATTTGGCGGGAAAACCTTTTCTCAGGCTATAAAATTGACAATAAAGCTCCCTACATGAAAACTTCCTGTCGACCCTGCGTTTGAAGACCTTCTACAGTATAGACTTGTTTATTTTTGGTTATGGTCAACTTCTCTTACAAGACAGATAATAAATTAGTTTCACTCTCCATCTGCTCCATCAGGAAGTCAGTTTTACTGCCGTTTAAGCGCAAGAGTCACCTTAAATAGCCCGAAAAAGTGTCAACAATAATAAACTCCCACGATAATCGATTTAACATGCACAATCGATAATCATAAATTGCTTAAGGTTTTAAGTCAATAATCGACTATGCCCGAGGATCCGCACATCACTAGTCACAGGTATATCTTGATCCTTACTCACTTATTGCAGACAATGTACTGGAATGGCTTGGGACAAAGATGGTGACACTCTGGCAATCATCCAAGATAAAAATGGTCAGTACTCGCTCTCTTTTCAGTGTGCAAAGCTTATATTCTTTTTGCATAAACTTTCCCCATCACTGTTGTAACCAACTCTTCTCTGTTTTACTTCATTTTTGTTGGTCACAAGTAGGTGCAGTGTACGTGTAGTACATGCTTTTACACAAACATACATAGGCTTTAAGTGTACTTACGATGTACATGTACAACTGTATATTTCCATTGCCACTTAATGGTCTTAATGCGTTGGAACTTGTTATGTTTTCTTGCCTCTATTAAATTACTGGTAAGATGGTACTAAATGTATTGTGAAAAGTCTATTATTATTCCAGAATTTTTCATCAAGCCTTATAGTTGATATGCTCTTTAAAGTTTTGAAATTATGAAATGTTAGTTATTTTGCACTTGGTTTCAATGTACACTTTGTGTCACGGACCACTGCAAAAGTTTTCATTCAGGGTCTTTTTTTAAACTTGATGTATTGCCTTCAGGTGTAGTATACTTATGGGATGCCAATTCGAACAAGACATCGCAGTTGGAAAGTGGCCTAAGGTACATGTGCAATCCTTGTCAATTTGTATTGTCTAAAAATTCAGGCATACTTATTTTTAATTCTGATTTCTCAAGAATGTTTTAATTTATCACATATGACTTTTGATTTCTCAAGCAAACTTTTTTATGTCCAAAATTTGTTTTTTTGTGGCAAAATTAAATTACATTAAATTGTTTATGCTAATGGGGCATTTGCTTTAGTTTACATCCTGTTTGATTTCCAAAATGGAACTAGCTTGCTGGTAGGCTCTCCGTGGCGCTCTGGCGATGGTCGAAAAAGGAACCCGCCGCCAGAAAGCTCTTGGAAGCTTGCTAGCAGGCTAAAATGGAACAATCAATTCCAGTGGTCATTCTTATTTTAGGGAGCGTGGTTATGGTTATTATGTCCCAAGGACAGTGTATACTTTCAATCTTGTTTTACCCTCTTTGCGACGATAAAAGCCATAGAAGTATGTCCTTACGTCGATAAAAGCCTCTTCATCATGGTCATTTTGAAGCGAACCTTGTAGAAACAGATAAGCTCACTTCGCCCTAATTGTTTGGTTTCTTTCACGTTTTTATTCTGATCATGTTGCAGTAGTGTAGTTTGATGGAAATACGGATTTATATTCCTCAATATAATAAACATTTCTTTAAACAAAATATTCTGGTCCCTTTCCCCCTCAATGGCGTCATTACACCTCTACCTCCCACGGTCACTCTCTTAAACAACCACCTTCTATGTTCACAAGGTGACCGTTGGAGACAGGTTTAAAAGTATTCATTTTAACGTCTTTTATCCAGGGAAGGGTTATCATTTGTATTATGGTCAAGAGTTGGACCTCAACTAGCTATAGGTGAGTTGCACAAGTCAGTATACAACTTAAGTAAGCGTGGTAGTCATCCAAAGAAGTCTAGGAAACAAATAACAATGGCCAGGGCAAGGTTGGAAATTAAAAAGTTTCGGAAGAAAGTTTCAAACGGTCGTGCAAAAATTTACAGCAGACTATACTAAACTGCGCCAAACTCAACCAAACTACACCAACCTGCACCAAACAGCGCAACAAACTGCACCAGCCTACATCTAACTGCACCAACTTACACCAACCTGCATCAAACTGCACCAATCTGCACTAACCTGCACCAAACTGCACCAGTCTGCGCCAACCTGCGCAGAACTGCACTAACTTGCACCAACCTGCATCAAACTGCACCAACCTGCACCTGCACCAAACTGAACCAAGCTGCTTCTGCACCAACCTGTACCAGCAGCACCAAACTTGCATCAAACTGCATCAAATTGCACTAAACTGCAGCAACCTGCACCAATCTGCATCAAACTGCACCTAATTGCACTAACCTGCACCAAACTGAACCTATCTGTAACAACATGTACCAAACTGTACCAACTAAAACAACCTCCACCAAACGTGATCAAATTGCACCAGTCTGCACGAACTTGCATCAAACTGCAGAAATCTACACCAAACTGCACCAACTTGCATCGACCTGCACCAACTAGTACCACCCTGCATCAAACTGCACTAAAATGCAACAATCTGCACCAAACTGCACCAAGCTACACCAAACTGCTTCAATCTGCACCAACCTGCTCCACACAGCATCAAAGTGCACTAAACTACACCAACTTGCACTAAGCTACACTAACTATACTAAATTAGACCAACTTCATGAGCCAGCCATATACTCGAAACTACAGCAACTGCACCATCGATATTAAACTACATCAACAACTCCAAACTACACAAACTACGCCACAGTACACCACCTTTACCAACACACCCAACTACACCAGACTACAACAATGTACACCAAACTACAAAAACTACACCTTACTGTAAAACTACATACTCCAAACTACACCATTTTACTTTATATTATGCCGATTACACCATTACACCAAAATTCAGCAACTATGCTAACTACAATAACCTACACCAAACTACACCAACACACCAAACCACATCAACTACACCAACACACCTAACTACAGCAACTACAGTAACTAAACCAAACAACCTTAAACTACAACAATGTACACCAACCGCACCAAACTACACCACATTATACGAACTACATCAAACTAGAAAAGAACCACAGCAAACTACACCAATTACACGAACTACATCAGCTACACCAGTCTACATCAACTACACTTACTATACTGTAGAATAATATAGTTTTAACTGAACTTGTATTGTTTTATATTCATGGCAGTTATCATGAATCTTTTACAAAATACTGTGAAAAACGTAGAGAGCACGAAAGTAAAGAGTAGGATATTCATAGCAAGAGCAAAAACATAGATCAAACTCATGTAAATAGAAGGTCGTTGTTTCAGCGAACATTGGGGAATGTCTTTTGTTGTTGTTGATCTCGAAGGTGGTAACCCAGAGCAATAATTTGATAGATCGGCTGTTAAGAGAAACTGATTTGTTTTTTAATTCTTGGCTTAGCAAACTGTTGTCCATACCTCCCTATTCACCCTGCAAAATCCTCATGGGTATAAACTGTGTTCTTACTACATTTAACTCACTAAAAGTAGGGATCCCTGAAAGCGGACAAGTCTAAAAGAAATTAGCGTCATTTATTTCAATCTTCTCATTATTCGGTGTTTACGTACTTGTAATAATAGAGTTGTAACAACTGCTGTATGTAAC